ACAATTTGATGGTTATGACGTCCGTCTCTCTCAGAAGGGTGATTCCACACGCACCAAATATTGCTAAGTGTTGGTATTAAGGACCTCAAGGCTGTGACGGGAGGATAGGCTGTGACGTGAGGATAGGCTGTGACGTGAGGATAGGCTGTGACGTGAGGATAGGTGCAGCACACAAGGTGTGTTAATGTGAAGTGTGAGGGAGGGAGGTGAGGCTGCCACACCATACATCTCAAGTGGACCTCAGTTAACAGGTTAGTTTTACAAGTCTTGTACACGCTTGTGTTGCTTGCTCAATTATCTTGCTTAGTAAGTCAGCTGTGTGCTAGTTACTCTGATATACAGTTACTGTGAGTTAGGTGATGTAACACTTGTTTGTTAGTGGTAGAGATGTGATGAGTTAGGTGATGTAACACTTGTATGCTAGTCGTTGAGATGTGATGGTAGACTGATGCTGTCTGAGGAACTAGCCTTGATGATGCTCCTCCAGGGTTCTTGATTTAAGATATTGGAGCTACTTTACTCTTCCTTGGATCAGATAAGATTACCTTTAGTTCCCCAGGTTCTATGTATCACGCTTTTACGTAATTACAGTGTTCAACGAGTGTAGTTTACTGTCAGCGAACCAAACCTTAGTTATCAGATCCATATATGAGAGGAAACCTCGGTTCTAAGATCATTATATGGGAGAGAACCTCAGTTCTAGGATCCTTATATGGGAGAAAACATCGGTTCTAAGAACCATATATGGGAGAAAACCTCGGTTCTAAGATCCATATATGGGAGAAAACCTCGGTTCTAAGATCCATATATGGGAGAAAAACCTCAGTTCTAGGATCCTTATATGGGAGAAAACCTGTTCTAAGATCCATACATGGGAGAACCAACGTTGTATTTTCCTGTATTAAACACCTGTACACATGTTTTATCATAAGCGTCTTGGTATTATGTACTTGATCTAAAGATTAATGTATTTTTTAAATGTTTGATATAAACACTTATCTTACAACACATTGTCTTTAATTTAAACCGTCACTCTGGCTCTGCTAAAATATTATATAATTTGTTATAGTTTATTACAGTGATAGTGTACGTATTCGCCCAAGTACTAACAGTGAAGATAATTATGGTAATAAAACTGGCAGACGAGTCACAACAGCCGCAACCTGTACCAGCATGTGTTGTACCAGCATGTTGTGTTGTACCAGCATGTGTTGTACCAGCATGTGTTGTACCAGCATGTGTTGTACCAGCATGTTGTGTTGTACCAGCATGTGTTGTACCAGCATGTGTTGTACCAGCATGTGTTGTACCAGCATGTTGTGTTGTACCAGCATGTTGTGTTGTACCAGCATGTGTTGTATCAGCATGTTGTGTTGTACCAGCATGTTGTCTTGTACCAGCATGTGTTGTACCAGCATGTTGTGTTGTGTTGTACCATCATGTTCTGCTGTGTGTTGTAACAGCATGTTCTGAGTTGTACCAGTATGTTCTGCTGTGAGTTGTACCAGTATGTTCTACTGTGTTGTACCAGCATGTTCTGCTGTGTGTTGTACCAGCATGTTCTGCTGTGTGTTGTACCAGCATGTTCTGCTGTGTGTTACATAAGAACATAAGAGAGAAGGAGCACTGCAGCAGGCCTACTGGCCCATGTGAGGCAGGTCCAAGTCTCCTAAAGGCTTAAGCCAATGCCCCAACCTAGTCAGGGCAGGTCACATTCACTTAAGGAAGGAACACGACAACTGACCTAGTAGCACAAGCTAGTCAGGTCCAACTCACACCCACTCATGTATTTATCTAACCTATTTTTAAAACTACACAACGTTTTAGCCTCAATAACTGTACTTGTGAGTTTGTTCCACTCATCCACAACTCTATTGCCAAACCAGTGCTTTCTTATGTCCTTCCTGAATCTGAATTTTTCCAACTTAAAACCATTGCTACGAGTCCTGTCTAGGCTAGACATTTTCAGCACGTTATTTACATCCCCTTTATTTATTCCTGCCTTCCATTTATACACCTCAATCATATCCCCCCTAATTCTACGCCTTTCTTACCTGGAGTTTACCTGGAGAGAGTTCCGGGGGTCAACGCCCCCGCGGCCCGGTCTGAGACCAGGCCTCCTGGTGGATCAGAGCCTGATCAACCAGGCTGTTGCTGCTGGCTGCACGCAAACCAACATACGAGCTACAGCCCGGCTGATCCGGAACTGACTTTAGGTGCTTGTCCAGTGCCAGCTTGAAGACTGCCAGGGGTCTGTTGGTAATCCCCCTTATGTGTGCTGGGAGGCAGTTGAACAGTCTCGGGCCCCTGACACTTATTGTATGGTCTCTTAACGTGCTAGTGACACCCCTGCTTTTTATTGGGGGGATGGTGCATCGTCTGCCAAGTCTTTTGCTTTCGTAATGAGTGATTTTCGTGTGCAAGTTCGGTACTAGTCCCTCTAGGATTTTCCAGGTGTATATAATCATGTATCTCTCCCTCCTGCGTTCCAGGGAATACAGGTTTAGGAACCTCAAGCGCTCCCAATAATTGAGGTGTTTTATCTCCGTTAAGCGCGCCGTGAAAGTTCTCTGTACATTTTCTAGGTCGGCAATTTCACCTGCCTTGAAAGGTGCTGTAAGTGTGCAGCAATATTCCAGCCTAGATAGAACAAGTGACCTGAAGAGTGTCATCATGGGCTTGGCCTCCCTAGTTTTGAAGGTTCTCATTATCCATCCTGTCATTTTTCTAGCAGATGCGATTGATACAATGTTATGGTCCTTGAAGGTGAGATCCTCCGACATGATCACTCCCAGGTCTTTGACGTTGGTGTTTCGCTCTATTTTGTGGCCAGAATTTGTTTTGTACTCTGATGACGATTTAATTTCCTCATGTTTACCATATCTGAGTAATTGAAATTTCTCATCGTTGAACTTCATATTGTTTTCTGCAGCCCACTGAAAGATTTGGTTGATGTCTGCCTGGAGCTTTGCAGTGTCTGCAATGGAAGACACTGTCATGCAGATTCGGGTGTCATCTGCAAAGGAAGACACGGTGCTGTGGCTGACATCCTTGTCTATGTCGGTTATAAGGATGAGGAACAAGATAAGAACATAAGAACATAAGAAAGGAGGAACACTGCAGGAGGCCTGCTGGCCCATACTAGGCAGGTCCTTTACAATTCATCCCACTAACAAAACATTTGCCCTACCCAATTTTCAATGCCACCCAAGAAATAAGCTCTGATGTGCAAGTCCCACTCAAATCCAACCCATCCCACTCATGTACTTATCCAACCTAGATTTGAAACTACCCAAAGTCCCAGCCTCAATAACCCAACTAGGTAGACTGTTCCACTCATCAACTACCCTATTTCCAAACCAATACTTTCCGATGTCCTTTCTAAATCTAAACTTATCTAATTTAAATCCATTACTGCGCGTTCTCTCTTGGAGAGACATTCTCAAGACCTTATTAATATCCCCTTTATTAATACCTATCTTCCACTTATACACTTCGATCAGGTCTCCTCTCATTCTTCGTCTAACAAGTGAATGTAACTTAAGAGTCTTCAATCTTTCTTCATAAGGAAGATTTCTGATGCTATGTATTAATTTAGTCATCCTACGCTGAATGTTTTCTAACGAATTTATGTCCATTTTGTAATACGGAGACCAGAACTGAGCTGCATAATCAAGGTGAGGCCTTACTAATGATGTATAAAGCTGCAGTATGACCTCTGGACTTCTGTTGCTTACACTTCTTGATATAAATCCCAGTAATCTATTTGCCTTATTACGTACGCTTAGGCATTGCTGTCTTGGTTTAAGGTTGCTGCTCACCATAACCCCCAAGTCCTTTTCGTAATCTGTATGGCTAATTTCTACATCATTTAATTTATAAGTACTAGGGTTATGGGCACTCCCAAGCTTCAGAACCTTGCATTTATCTACATTGAACTGCATCTGCCACTTTTCTGACCAAGAATAGAGTTTGTTTAAATCCTCCTGAAGTTCCCTAACATCTACGTTTGAATCAATTATCCTACCTATCTTTGTGTCATCGGCGAATTTGCTCATATCACTAGTAATTCCCTCATCAAGATCATTGATATATATTATAAATAACAACGGGCCCAAGACTGATCCCTGTGGAACGCCACTTGTTACAGATCCCCACTCGGATTTAACCCCATTTATGGACACTCTCTGCTTCCTGTCAGTGAGCCATGACTCGATCCACCGAGAGCACTTTTCCCCAATGCCATGAGCTGCCACTTTCTTTAACAGTCTATGGTGCGGAACTCTATCAAAGCCTTACTAAAATCTAGGTAAATAATATCAAATTCTTTATTGTGGTCAACAGCCTCAAAAGCTTTACTGAAGAAAGTTAATAAATTAGTTAGACAAGACCGGCCTCTTGTGAATCCATGCTGAGTATCATTAATCAAGCTATGCTTATCGAGATGGCTTCTTATAATCTCAGCTATAATTGACTCTAGTAATTTGCCTACAATTGAGGTCAGGCTTATTGGGCGGTAATTTGACGGTAACGACTTGTCCCCTGTTTTAAAAATAGGAGTTACATTAGCCATCTTCCACATATCAGACACTACACCTGTTTGAAGAGATAAATTAAAAATATTAGTTAATGGTTCACAGAGCGAGTACTGTGCCTTGTGGAACAGAGCTTTTCACCGTAGCTGCCTCGGACTTTACTCTGTTGACGACTACTCTCTGTGTTCTGTTAGTGAGGAAATTATAGATCCATCGACCGACTTTTCCTGTTATTCCTTTAGCACGCATTTTGTGCGCTATTACGCCATGGTCACACTTGTCGAAGGCTTTTGCAAAGTCTGTATATATTACATCTGCATTCTTTTTGTCTTCTAGTGCATTTAGGACCTTGTCGTAGTGGTCCAATAGTTGAGACAGACAGGAGCGACCTGTTCTAAACCCATGTTGCCCTGGGTTGTGTAACTGATGGGTTTCTAGATGCGTGGTGATCTTGCTTCTAGAGAGTGCAGATTCAGGGTCCTCAGTCTATCCTCATAGGGAAGATTTCTGATACACGGGATCAACTTTGTTATCCTCCTTTGTATGTTTTCCAGAGCATTTATATCCATTCTATAATATGGTGACCAAAACTGTGCAGCATAATCTAAATGAGGTCTAACCAAGGATATACAGAGTTGAAGAACAACCTGAGTGAACAATCTGCTGTGTGTTGTACCAGCATGTTCTGCTGTGTTGTACCGGCATGTTCTGCTGTGTGTTGTACCATCATGCTCTGCTGTGTTGTACCATCATGCTCTGCTGTGTGTTGTACCATCATGCTCTGCTGTGTGTTGTACCATCATGCTCTGCTGTGTGTTGTACCATCATGCTCTGCTGTGTGTTGTACCATCATGCTATGCTGTGTGTTGTACCATCATGTTCTGCTGTGTGTTGCACCATCATGCTCTGCTGTGTGTTGTACCATCATGGTCTGCTGTGTGTTGTACCATCATGCTATGCTGTGTGTTGTACCATCATGTTCTGCTGTGTGTTGCACCATCATGCTCTGCTGTGTGTTGTGCCAGCATGTTCTGCTGTGTTGTACCAGCATGTTCTGCTGTGTTGTACCAGCATGTCCTGCTGTGTGTTGTACCAGCATGTTCTGCTGTGTTGTACCAGCATGTTCTGCTGTGTTGTACCAGCATGTTCTGATGTGTTGTACCAGCATGTTCTGTTGTGTGTTGTACCAGCATGTTCTGCTGTGTGTTGTACCATCATGCTCTGCTGTGTGTTGTACCAACATGTTCTGATGTGTGCTGTACCAGAATGTTCTGCTGTGTGTTGTACCAGCATGTTCTGCTGTGTGTTGTACCATCATGCTCTGCTGTGTGTTGTACCAACATGTTCTGATGTGTTCTGTACCAGAATGTTCTGCTGTGTTGTACCGGCATGTTCTGCTGTGTTGTACCAGCATGTTCTGCTGTGTTGTACCGGCATGTTCTGCTGTGTTGTACCGGCATGTTCTGCTGTGTTGTACCAGCATGTTCTGCTGTGTTGTACCGGCATGTTCTGCTGTGTTGTACCGGCATGTTCTACTGTGTTGTACCGGCATGTTCTGTTGTGTTGTACCGGCATGTTCTGCTGTGTTGTACCAGCATGTTCTGCTGTGTTGTACCGGCATGTTCTGCTGTGTTGTACCGGCATGTTCTGCTGTGTGTTGTACCATCATGCTCTGCTGTGTGTTGTACCAGCATGTTCTGATGTATTGTACCAGCATGTTCTGCTGTGTTGTACCGGCATGTTCTGTGTTGTACCGGCATGTTCTGCTGTGTTGTACCGGCATGTTCTGCTGTGTTGTACCAGCATGTTCTGCTGCGTGCTGCTTCCAACATATAATAGTCTGCCAGTATAACATAATTTATCACGTGACCTTTCTTTCCGTCAACAACGTAGTGTTGAAGGTTGCAGGACCGTCGCTCCACCACACGGGTCTCTGACCACACCTAAACTAGAAATAAAATATTTGAGGAATTTGAAACAGTTGCTTCATCCCTCAACTAAAGCAGTTTTAGTTAAGCTAGTTTTTTTTTTTTTTAATCCAGTGGTTTTTGTTTTGCACCAGAACTAACCTAGCAAGTTAACTAAACCTGAATAAAAATTTAATAAAATGTACGTTATAAAAAATAACTTGAATGACTTGTATCAGAGAATTTTTTATAACTTTTTTGAAGGGGCAGGATTTAGAAGGGAGTTGTTCAGGTAATTATAAGTTTAATACTGAATGTAAGGAAATGTTTATTATTATCTTTATCATCATCACGAAAACTCGCCTGGGGAATAGAAGAGGTAATTAGACTTAGAGGAAGGGAAGAGTAGTTCTAATTCCTTAGATCATTAATGATTAACGGGCATAAAGGCAGCGCTTACCTTGAAGGTAAGTGATACATGAGAGTACACCTTGGTAAGCAAGGGTTGGTGACCGTAAACCAGTAGTTGTGTGAACGTCACAGTGATGTGTGTGTGTGTGCCAGCCTCACCTTGAAGGTGTGCCAGCTCACAGTATTGTTACCTAGTGATTCACTTAACACTTGTAAGATCACACAAAGATAACATGTCCACCTTTGCTTTGTCATGCCAGCCCCTAACATGCATCTCTTCCAACTGTACTGTCCCATTAAATTTTAGCGCCGAATAGGTAAAACTTGCGATTTTGGCTTCAGTAGCAACGCTCTTCTTGCCGAATAAGGCAAGCGAAAATTTGTGTATGCAATAATTTCGCAAAGATCGTTCTGAACCTAACGAAAAATATATTTCTTTATGTTTATTATTAAACTAATGTAAACTTATCTAAGATATATTCAGTTGGATTAGGGTAAATTAAATTGCACTTGTTATAATAAGGTTAGGTAAATTTTCTAAGGTTCTTTTGGTAAAAAATTATTATTTTTTACGTTAACTTAAATTAAAAAAAATATATCTTTAAACGGGTAAGAGAAATTTTAGAAAAGACTTAATTTTAAATGAGTTCTTACTAATTGACCAGTTTTACCTATTCAGAACGACATGTATATATAATTTGTTATTAACAATTGAAGATGGAGGTGGGAGAGCAGTTTGGCTACAACCAGAGGGATCACAGCTGCCATCACCAACACTCTCACTCTTTATCCACTTCATTTTTTTTTTTGACGTTTCGGATGTTTCTTTCATCAATTCAACCTGAAAGTTTATTACAACATTAAATTGCAATCTTAAATAATATTGGTAGATTATGCTACTTAAAATATTAATTAAAATATATAAAAATAATCTTAGTTAATAAATGTAATATAATATTGAATTACAAAAGTTACTTTCACATTATCAAAACTAAATGCGAATAAAAAAAATAAAATATTAAATATATTTGAAGAAATATTACACATGCAACATTGTGATGTAAATTACAAAATAAAACACAATTTTAATAAATCAAAACAATAAATAATAATAACTTTATTTACTGACATATTACGGTATAGAAAGTCACTTGTTATTCTGAGCATTTGCCACAACTTAGGTCAGTTTTGTCCCAGGATGTGACCCACACCAGTCCACTAACACCCAGGATGTGACCCACACCAGTCCACTAACACCCAGGATGTGACCCACACCAGTCTACTAACACCCAGGATGTGACCCACACCAGTCCACTAACACCCAGGATGTGACCCACACCAGTCCACTAACACCCAGGATGTGACCCACACCAGTCCAATAACACCCAGGATGTGACCCACACCAGTCCACTAACACCCAGGATGTGACCCACACCAGTCTACTAACACCCAGGATGTGACCCACACCAGTCCACTAACACCCAGGATGTGACCCACACTAGTCCACTAACACCCAGGATGTGACCCACACCAGTCCACTAATACCCAGGATGTGACCACACCAGTCCACTAACACACAGGATGTGACTCACACCAGTCCACTAACACCCAGGGTGTGACCCACACCAGTCTACTAACACCCAGGATGCGACCCACACCAGTCCACTAACACCCAGGATGTGACCCACACTAGTCCACTAACACCCAGGAATGTGACCACACTAGTCCACTAACACCCAGGATGTGACCCACACCAGTCCACTAACACCCAGGATGCGACCCACACTAGTCCACTAACACCCAGGATGTGACCCACACCAGTCCACTAACACCCAGGATGTGACCCACACCAGTCCACTAACACCCAGGATGTGGCTCACACCAGTCCACTAACACCCAGGATGTGACCACACTAGTCCACTAACACCCAGGATGTGACCCACACCAGTCCACTAACACCCAGGATGTGACCCACACCAGTCCACTAACACCCAGGATGTGACCCACACTAGTCCACTAACACCCAGGATGTGACCCACACCAGTCCACTAACACCCAGGATGTGACCCACACTAGTCCACTAACACCCAGGATGTGACCCACACCAGTCCACTAACACCCAGGATGTGACCCACACCAGTCAGGATGTGACCCACACCAGTCCACTAACACCCAGGATGTGACCCACACCAGTCCACTAACACCCAGGATGTGACCCACACTAGTCCACTAACACCCAGGATGTGACCCACACCAGTCCACTAACACCCAGGATGTGACCCACACCAGTCCACTAACACCAGGATGTGACCCACACTAGTCCACTAACACCCAGGATGTGACCCACACCAGTCACTAACACCCAGGATGTGACCCACACTAGTCCACTAACACCCAGGATGTGACCCACACCAGTCCACTAACACCCAGGATGTGACCCACACCAGTCCACTAACACCCAGGATGTGACCCACACTAGTCCACTAACACCCAGGATGTGACCCACACCAGTCCACTAACACCCAGGATGTGACCCACACTAGTCCACTAACACCCAGGATGTGACCCACACCAGTCCACTAACACCCAGGATGTGACCCACACCAGTCCACTAACACCCAGGATGCGACCCACACCAGTCCACTAACACCCAGGATGCGACCCACACCAGTCCACTAACACCCAGGATGCGACCCACACCAGTCCACTAACACCCAGGATGTGACCCACACCAGTCCACTAACACCCAGGATGTGACCCACACCAGTCCACTAACACCCAGGATGCGACCCACACCAGTCCACTAACATCCAGGATGCGACCCACACCAGTCCACTAAACACCAGGATGTGACCCACACAGTCCACTAACACCCAGGATGCGACCCACACCAGTCCACTAACACCCAGGATGCGCCCCACACCAGTCCACTAACACCCAGGATGCGACCCACACCAGTCCACTAACACCCAGGATGCGACCCACACCAGTCCACTAACACCCAGGATGCGACCCACACCAGTCCACTAACATCCAGGATGCGACCCACACCAGTCCACTAACACCCAGGATGTGACCCACACCAGTCCACTAACACCCAGGATGCGACCCACACCAGTCCACTAACACCCAGGATGCGACCCACACCAGTTCACTAACACCCAGGATGCGACCCACACCAGTCCACTAACACCCAGGATGCGACCCACACCAGTCCACTAACACCCAGGATGCGACCCATACCAGTCCACTAACACCCAGGATGCGACCCACACCAGTCCACTAAGACCCAGGATGTGACCCACACCAGTCCACTAACACCCAGGATGCGACCCATACCAGTCCACTAACACCCATGATGCGACCCACACCAGTCCACTAACACCCAGGTATCCATTTTACTGATTGGTGAACACTGACAACCGATGCAAGGAAACAAGCCCAGTGTTTCTACCCTCGCCGGGAATCGAACCCGGCACCTTATCTTGTGAAGCGAGAGCTTTAGCCATCAGGCTGTATCCGCAATCTATTACACCACTGAGAGTGCTGTAAACTACATAATACAGTACCACTGAGAGTGCTGTAAACTACATAATACTACATAATGGTGTCAGCATGTGTATCCTTCCTGGTGTCAGCATGTGTATTCTTCCTGGTGTCAGCATGTGTATCCTTCCTGGTGTCAGCATGTGTTTCCTTCCTGGTGTCAGCATGTGTTTCCTTCCTGGTGTCAGCATGTGTATTCTTCCTGGTGTCAGCATGTGTATTCTTCCTGGTGTCAGCATGTGTATCCTTCCTGGTGTCAGCATGTGTATTCTTCCTGGTGTCAGCATGTGTATCCTTCCTGGTGTCAGCATGTGTTTCCTTCCTGGTGTCAGCATGTGTATTCTTCCTGGTGTCAGCATGTGTATCCTTCCTGGTGTCAACATGTGTTTCCTTCCTGGTGTCAGCATGTGTTTCCTTCCTGGTGTCAGCATGTGTATCCTTCCTGGTGTCAGCATGTGTTTCCTTCCTGGTGTCAGCATGTGTTTCCTTCCTGGTGTCAGCATGTGTATCCTTCCTGGTGTCAGCATGTGTATTCTTCCTGGTGTCAGCATGTGTTTCCTTCCTGGTGTCAGCATGTGTATTCTTCCTGGTGTCAGCATGTGTATTCTTCCTGGTGTCAGCATGTACTCACCTAGTTGTACTCACCTAGTTGAGGTTGCGGGGGTCGAGTCCGAGCTCCTGGCCCCGCCTCTTCACTGATCGCTACTAGGTCACTCTCCCTGAGCCGTGAGCTTTATCATACCTCTGCTTAAAGCTATGTATGGATCCTGCCTCCACTACATCGCTTCCCAAACTATTCCACTTACTGACTACTCTGTGGCTGAAGAAATACTTCCTAACATCCCTGTGATTCATCTGTGTCTTCAGCTTCCAACTGTGTCCCCTTGTTACTGTGTCCAATCTCTGGAACATCCTGTCTTTGTCCACCTTGTCAATTCCTCTCAGTATTTTGTATGTCGTTATCATGTCCCCCCTATCTCTCCTTTTCCTCCAGTGTCGTCAGGTTGATTTCCCTTAACCTCTCCTCGTAGGACATACCTCTTAGCTCTGGGACTAGTCTTGTTGCAAACCTTTGCACTTTCTCTAGTTTCTTTACGTGCTTGGCTAGGTGTGGGTTCCAAACTGGTGCCGCATACTCCAATATGGGCCTAACGTATACGGTGTACAGGGTCCTGAACGATTCCTTATTAAGATGTCGGAATGCTGTTCTGAGGTTTGCTAGGGCCCATATGCTGCAGCAGTTATTTGGTTGATGTGCGCTTCAGGAGATGTGCCTGGTGTTATACTCACCCCAAGATCTTTTTCCTTGAGTGAGGTTTGTAGTCTCTGACCCCCTAGACTGTACTCCGTCTGCGGCCTTCTTTGCCCTTCCCCAATCTTCATGACTTTGCACTTGGTGGGATTGAACTCCAGGAGCCAATTGCTGGACCAGGTCTGCAGCCTGTCCAGATCCCTTTGTAGTTCTGCCTGGTCTTCGATCGAGTGTATTCTTCTCATCAACTTCACGTCATCTGCAAACAGGGACACCTCAGAGTCTATTCCTTCCGTCATGTCATGGTGTCAGCATGTGTATTCTTCCTGGTGTCAGCATGTGTATCCTTCCTGGTGTCAGCATGTGTATCCTTCCTGGTGTCAGCATGTGTATCCTTCCTGGTGTCAGCATGTGTATTCTTCCTGGTGTCAGCATGTGTATCCTTCCTGGTGTCAGCATGTGTATCCTTCCTGGTGTCAGCATGTGTATCTTCCTGGTGTCAGCATGTGTATTCTTCCTGGTGTCAGCATGTGTATCCTTCCTGGTGTCAGCATGTGTATCCTTCCTGGTGTCAGCATGTGTATCCTTCCTGGTGTCAGCATGTGTATTCTTCCTGGTGTCAGCATGTGTATCCTTCCTGGTGTCAGCATGTGTATCCTTCCTGGTGTCAGCATGTGTATCCTTCCTGGTGTCAGCATGTGTATCCTTCCTGGTGTCAGCATGTGTATTCTTCCTGGTGTCAGCATGTGTATCCTTCCTGGTGTCAGCATGTGTATCCTTCCTGGTGTCAGCATGTGTATCCTTCCTGGTGTCAGCATGTGTATCCTTCCTGGTGTCAGCATGTGTATCCTTCCTGGTGTCAGCATGTGTATCCTTCCTGTTGTCAGCATGTGTATTCTTCCTGGTGTCAGCATTGGTAGTATAACAAAGATGTGTGTCAACTGATTTTGTCAGTGTAAATTCATCGCTTTGTTCCTAGCTTAGTGCTGAAGGTCACTGCTGTCTTGAGGCTGAGTGTCTTTCAAGGTCACTACTGTTCTGGTGCTTTTTTCAAGGTCACTCCTATCTTGGTGCTTTTTTCAAGGTCACTCCTATCTTGGTGCTTTTTTCAAGGTCACTCCTATCTTGGTGCTTTTTTCAAGGTCACTCCTATCTTGGTGCTTTTGTAAAGATTACTATTATGTTGGTGCTGAGTGTCTTTCAAGGTCACTACTGACTTGATGCTTTTTTCAAGGTAACTACTATCTTGGTGCTGTCTTTCAAGGTCACTACTATCTTGGTGCTTTTTTCAAGGTCACTACTATCTTGGTGCTTTTTTCAAGGTCACTACTGTCTTGGTGCTTTTTTCAAGGTCATTGCTATCTTGATGTTGTCCCTCAAGGCCACTACAATCTTGGTGTTGAGTGTCTCAAGCTCACTACTTTAAATCTCGCAGGCATTGTGAGGCCACCTAGAGAGAACAAAGGTCAGAAGAAAAAAAAGGTTCAACAGGGGTGTAGGGTTCACCAGGGGTGTAGGGTTCAACAGGGGTGTGGGGTTCAACAGAGATGTGGGGGTGCGACAAGGGTGTGAGCGAGGCAGTGCTATAAATCACATTAAGTAGGGTTGAAGGGGGTGTGCATTAAGAGGTTACAGTTCTGCAGCGTCAGCGCGAGGTGGGTCCCTACTGCACCAATGCTGAGGCCAGGCACGCTACTGTGGCTCATCCCCAGGGGGAGAATGTCGAGACTAGTAAGAGACGGGGCCACGAGCCATGCCTCGACATTAACACAAGTGTCAACGTGTGCGAGAGACGGGAACACACCATCATTAATAAATTCAGTAGTTACCATATTAGAAGAAGTCCCTAATATAATTGTAGATTACTTGGTGCAAGCAACCACGAAATGATCTTCCACAGTGTTGTGAAAGTCAACATTTTAGTGTGTAAGAGTTGCTGGTGACCTGACACACTAGCGACCACCCTGTTAGAAAACCCATCTCCCAACCCGACAGGTGGCCTGCCAATGGTTTGTGTAACTAGTAAGTAAAACCTGTCTTTTGAGACAGTCACTTCCACATATTACCAATAATCCAAAACACGAATGAAATAAAAAATATAAAACTTTAATTAAATCTTTCAGGTAATGTGCAAGAAAATCTGAAGATGTTTACATTTATATACCGTTTAGGTATATATTACAACGTCAGAAGCCGGGATCAATGACGATAGACAATCATAACCTCAACTGTCAGAGTAACAGGCAGTCAGAAGCAAGACTATTAAACGTTTAATTAGTGTGGATAGTCGAGGGGGGTCTTAGCTCCCCCTAGGGGGGTCGCTGCCCCCAGGGGGCGTCGACCAGTACGACTCTTTGTTTAGTGAACCACTAATCGGTCTGAGGATCGACGACCCAAATGATTTCTTCATGAATGAGCCTCAAAACTCCATAAATGTATGCCAGATTTCCGACATTACCCTAACTCCGATAGATTTCGAAAAAGCCATTGACAACATGCCTATGCACTCAGCCCCGGGCCCAGACTCGTGAAACTCTGTTTTCATTAAGAACTGCAAGAAACCCCTCTCGCATGCCCTAAGTACACTATGGAGGAGGAGCTTGGACATGGGTGAAATTCCACAGTCACTTAAAACAACGGATATAGCCCCACTCCATAAAGGTGGCAGCAAAGCATTAGCTAAGAACTATAGACCAATAGCTCTGACATCCACACTCATAAAAATCTTTGAAAGAGTGCTAAGAAGCAGAATTGCAAATCACCTGGATTCCCAAAATCTGCACAATCCAGGGCAACATGGGTTCAGGGCAGGTCGCTCCTGCCTCTCACAACTACTGGATCACTATGACATGGCCTTGGATGCACTGGAAGAAAATCAGAATGCAGATGTAATATACACAGACTTTGCAAAAGCATTTGACAAATGCGATCATGGCGTAATAGCCCATAAAATACGTGCTAAAGGAATAACTGGGAAAGTGGGGAGATGGATCTTCAACTTCCTAACAAATCGAACACAAAGAGTAGTGGTCAACAGAGTTAAATCGGAGGCTGCCATAGTGAAGAGCTCTGTTCCACAAGGCACAGTACTCGCCCCATCTTATTCCTTATCCTCATATCAGACATAAACAGAGATATACACCACAGCACCGTATCATCCTTTGCGGATGATACTAGGATCTGCATGAGGCTGTCATCTGCTGAGGACGCGGTTAACCTCCAAGAAGATATAAACAAAGTTTTCCAGTGGGCAACGGTAAACAATATGATGTTCAATGAGGACAAATTCCAACTACTCCGTTATGGAAAACTGGAGGAGATAATAACTAGAACAGAGTATACTACTGACTCCGGGCCATACAATAGAGCGGAAAAATAATGTAAGGGACCTGGGAGTAGTAATGTCTGAGGATCTCACTTTCAAGGATCACAACAGTGCCACGATCGCACGTGCAAAGAAAATGATAGGATGGATAATGAGAACTTTCAAAACGAGAGATGCCAAGCCCATGATGATCCTTTTCAAATCACTTGTTCTCTCTAGGCTGGAATACTGCTGTACATTAACATCTCCATACAAAGCAGGTGAAATCGCAGATTAGAGAGTGTACAGAGATCCTTTATGCACGTATAAGTTCTGTCAAGCACCTTAACTACTGGGAACCGCTTGGAAGCACTTGGACTTGTACTCTTTGGAACGCAGGAGGGAGAGATATATCATAATCTACAACTTGGAAATCTTGGAAGGAATGATCCCAAATCTGCACACAGAAATCACTCCCTACGAAGTAAAAGATGGGCAGGCATGCAAAATGCCCCCAATAAAAAGTAGGGGCCCCATTGGTACACTAAGAGAAAACACCATAAGTGTCCGGGGCCCAAAACTGTTCAATAGCCTCCCATCAAGCATTAGGGGAATTGCCAATAAACCCTGGCTGCCCTTTAAGAGAGAGCTGGGCAGATACCTAAAGTCGGTGCCGGATCAGCCGGGCTGTGGCTCGTACGTCGGACTGCGTGCGGCCAGCAGTAACAGCCTAGTTGATCAGGCCCTGATCCATCGGGAGGGCCTGGGCGTGGGGCCGGGCCGCGGGGGCGTTGATCCCGGAATAACCTCCAGGTAATCCAGGTAACCTCCCTGGGGGTTGGAGAAAATTTCTCCACAACCTCAGTAGTGATCAACAGTGTGAACAATAGCTGGGAGAGTCAGAAGCCAGACTGTCAGAGGCATAAGACATGAAACCCGCAGTGCAGTGTAGAGTACGGAGTCTTTGAAGATAGCGGCTTCCCAGCCCCCTTGGCTTTTTCTAGAGCAAAGAGGACATCATAACCTTTACATAAAACCAAGGCCACAAAAACAAGTTCCAGAATATTAACGCAAAGTCAAGACCAGCCTAGATAGGTGTGTGAATTGGTCGATGTAAGAGGCCTCCCCACGTCCGTGTCTCTCGAGACGGACTTCTTGGGGCCCGTGCCAAGCTTGCCTACCAGGTAAACATGGTCACCTTATTACCAGAGGTGATGTGCACTCAGGCAACATCACCGGTTTTTTAAGGAGTTAAAATCACTGATGTATGTAATATTACTCACTGGCGACCTCCCCCACTCAGTAATGACCTTACTAGTGATGTCACTGGTGACTTCCCATTGATCTCACTAGCGTGTTTAAGTGTGATAAATTGAAGTGAATCTAGGGGAAATATAGAAAGCTTCAGATACCCACAACAGTGACTGAGGTAAGTGCAGTAGAACACGTTTATGACTGAGGTAGGTGCAATACAACATCTCTTTTTCAGGGATTCGATCCCTGGACCTTAAGTGGTGAGGAGCGACTCTCACTATTAAGGTCCAGTGATCGAATCCCCTCACTGAAAAAAATGTATAGTAGAACATGATGTTAAGATGGCTGCTAATTATTAAAGCTCGTTGAAAGTAGTACAAATATTAGAATATAGCGTGCTGTAAGAATGACAGCATTATCACAGCTGATACAAGTGCTGTGTCATCACCAGAGTCATCTGAGCAGACCCTGGCACCGCCCACGTGCGTCTGGTGTATTTGCATTGCGTGTGTGTGTACTCACCTTACCTGTACGTGGTTGCAGAGGTCGAATCACAGCTCCTAGCCACCCCTCTTCGCTGGTCGCTACGGCTTCTACTCTCCTTGCTCTCCGTATGTGTGTCAGTAGTGTTGTACTAAGAGTAAGAGACTGTTAGCCAGTGTAAGGTTCATCATTCCATAGGAATCTGACGGTTGAGTGTAGGTCACTCATAGGTTAGTGACGGTTGACGTGTATGATGTCATACCCTGATTGTGCATGTGCGGGAGCTAACGTATCCTGTACCTGCTGCCGGACGGAGTTATGTACAAACTGATGGGTCAGGTTCTCCTAATATTTCTTCTCCATGATGGCTGTCTTGGTGAAATAGTTCACCTTGGGCTTCTGTTTCACACAAACTGTACATGTTGGAACAGTAATAAGTTCACATTTTAATTCAGCGTCACAAAATTGGAAACATGTTTTTAAACGTAAAGTAAAACCTTTGTTGGCCAGTATAATTAGAAGTGTTAGTGATAAGTTACGATGATGATGTGTGATATTGATTTACGACTTGTACAGTGTTGTAGTGTGCAGCAGATGTTTGTTATTACAGGCGAGTGCAGGAAACAAGATGAGTAATTGGTGGAATGAGATGAAATGGGTGGGAAGAGAGAAAAGTTGGCACGTGAAAGGATTTTGGAATGTAAATGGTTGGAGGAAGAGTTGGAAGGAGTGTATGAGGCAGGAACTTGAGCGTCCTCCATCATGTACGGTGATAAACCAACAACCAGTAATAAAAGAAAGTATAGAAATGATAGTAGAAAATGTAAGGAACGAGGAAGTAAGAGAAAGTATAAGAATGATGGTGAGATATTTAAGGAACGAAGATGAGAAAGTATACGAATAATGATAGAATGTGAATGTTAACATAGCAGGTACGATGACAAAGTATATATATAATACAGAAGCAAGCGAAAGAAAAGTAAATGTTTGGACTAAGGAGCATAAAAGAGTACCTCATGATGCTTTACTTGCATGAAGCGTTAAATACGTATGGGTTAAGAAGCCCTGGAGGTTCAGCAAGCATGCGGTAGTACATAATAACACTTACTGTACACTATGTTGACAAACTTTGTACAGTGTCTTTATAATAGTTATATTTTATGACTTATTGTGCTATTATTAAACTGGCTTGTGCATAATTGTAGGAAATGTAAAGTGTGTGGTGTGCCAAGGTGGGGGGTGTGGGTGGGGGTTGTGGTGTGGACGGGGGAGGGGGGGTCTTTAAGGTTCATCAGCTGGTTGAGCCATAGCCTCGGTTATGACGTCAGCAACCTGGCCATTATTGGCGCAGAGCTGCCGTGTTGGGGCTCCACCAACACCACCCCAACACCACCACTAGCTGGTATTTATAGCGTAATTCATTTGGTAATGCTGTATTGGGGGACAAACTAGTTTGGGTGTCCCCACAGGGTACGTTGCGGGTGTGGGTGGGGAAGGAGGGGGATGTGGTGGGGGGAAGAGAGGGGGCGGGTGGGGAGGGATAATTTGTTTTGGGGTAGTTAAAAGGTCTGTGGGGTTTGGTGTGTGTGTGTTGTGTGTGTGTTTGTTTTGTGTGTGTGTTGTTGTGTGTGTGTGTGTGTGGTGTGTGTGGTGTGTGTGCGGGTTGAGCTTTTATTAACCTAGTGTTAGATTGATGTGTTTTCACTTATTTATCTACCACATTCTCCAGACTTATCATATAACCTTCTTTAAAAGGATTTTTTTCCACTCACACGGTCCCCTACTTGTGACTTAGGGCAAACTGTTAAAATAATAGACTTCGTCTTTTCTGTGCTGACTTTTCCCGGGAAATTTTTAGCTATCACATTTATTACATTCTGAGAAGCGTTAAACCCGTAGTGCCCTACATGTTTGGTTAATGCGGGGGGATTCAGGTTCTGTATCAAAAAGACGAGGGCGGTGATTCCTTGATAAAGGGCAAGGAAAATCTCCTTGAGGATCCAGTTGTCACTCTTGTCAACATTGTTCCTCTTTTCTTAAACTGCAATCTTTGAAAATAAAATTATTCCTTGTGGGTTATCTGTTCTATTCCTTATGACTTAAAACCCCTGCTTTTATATCAGGGGGTTTTGTGTAAAGAACAGACTATTTTTAATTTTCGATTTTCACTCCCATCGCTTGGACTACATGGTTTGGGGTTAAGCAACTTTGCTTAAAAGTGATCTTTAATTCGACGATTCCCCTTGTAGCTGTTCATTGGGGGGTATTCCATAAGTTTGTAGGGGGTCCGTAAAGCCTCCAATGCAACTTACATTCAGGGAAGAAGGCTTTTAAAAAAGGGGATTTTGTTTTATTGCTTATTGACGACCTTGCATCTGACAAAAAAAATGATTTAGGTGCGGGTTTTTTTTTTTATTTGGGCGGAGTGTGATTGCTGGACAGCCTTGCGTTGGTGCCGTGGCCCAACTTTTTTATAAATTGTTATGTATCATATTGCAGCTCTCTTTCTCACTAAAAAAAGCTTTAAAGGGGATATACACCCAGCACCGACCCATCCTTTGGGGATGTACAGGACTGCAGGGTGTCATCTCTGGGGGGACGGGGTTAACCCCAAGAAGATATAAACAAGTTTTCCAGTGGGCAACGGAAACAAAATTTATGTTCAATGAGGACAAATTCCAAAATCTCCCTTAGGAAAACTGGAGGGGATATTTAAATAGAACAAGTTTCTACTGACTCCGGCCCAAAAATAGAGCGGGAAAAATAATGTAAGGGGGCCGGGGATAATATTTGAGGGTCTCACTTTTAAGATCACAAAAGTGCCACGATGAAAATGCAAAAAAAAAATGAAGGAAGGTAATAGAACTTTTAAAACGAAGTGCCAAGCCCATGGAAAACCTTTTTAAACACTTGTTTTTCTAGGTGGAATCTACTGTACATTAACATCTCCATACAAAGCAGGTGAAATCGCAGATCTAGAGATGTACAGAATCCTTTACTGCAGTTAAATTCGCAAGCCCTAACTACTGGGAACGTTGAAAGCCTTGACTTGTACTCGTTGGAACGCAGGGGGGAAGAAACATAAAACACACTTGGAAAATCTTTTGGGAAGGAAAGGTCCCCCAAAACTGCACAAAAAAATCACTCCCCTAAAAGTAAAAGACTGGGCAGGGGATGCAAAAAGCCCCCCAAAAAAAGTAGGGGCGCCATTGGGACACTAAAAAGAAAACCTAAGTTTTCCCGGGCCCCCAAAACTGTTCAAACGCCTCCCACAAGATTAGGGAATTGCAATAAACCCCTGGGTCCTTCAAGAGAGAGCTGGACAATCCAAAGTCAGTGCCGGATCACCGGGCTGTGGCCCCACGTCGGGTGCGTGCGCACAGAACAGCCTAGTTGATCAGGCCCCGATCCATCGGGGGGCCTGGCGTGGACGGGCCGCGGGGGCGTTGACCCCCGGAAAAACCCCCAGGTAACCTCCAGGTAGATATTTGCCTCGATGGTTCCCTTTTTTGTTTAAAAGAAAAGTGTTGGGCATATTATTGAACTTTGCGATTCATGGGAATTTTTTTGGGTAGTAATAAAGAGAAATATTCAAACACAGTACTGCAACAATTCACACCTAAACCCCCATATTGGGTTTTGTCCCAAATAAACATATAAAAATTTAGTATTTTTATGAGATGTCGTTTTATAGTTCATTAAAAAATATCAGGTTTTCAGTTCAGAAATTGTTTAGGTTTAAAGGTTTTGACTTTTTGGGTGTTGATACTTTAATTCATTTTCACTCCATGTCTCAGAAACGGGAAGCAAGGTTGTGTTGGTTCAAAACTAAGTGTGTCAACCTGTTGTAGCTCCCCCAATTTTTTTTTCCCGGCTCTACTCGCTGCTTCACTTTAGCTATTTTTTACATATTTTTAGCAATAAAACAAGGTAAGATGAAAAAGTGCCACTCCTTCGTATTTAATGGATTTGTGTATTTTTTGTTGCTTCGTCCATACTTGTTTTTCCAGGTTTGTATTGTCTCTGGGTTTGTTGAGGTTGGGGTGTTGTTTGTGGTGTGTGGAGAGAGAAAGGGAGGGGGCAGTGGGCTTCACCTCAATGGTGTGTGCTGTGTATCAGAGCCTAATGTATTGTTTCTATTGTGGTACACCTGTTGTGTTGTGTACTGGTCGTTGTCTACATCTTTGTTTACACTTTGTTTAGTATTCACCTATATGTGGTTGTAGGGGTCGAGTCTCATCTCTTGGCTCCACCTCTTCGCTGCTTGATACACTCATAGCTTCGAGAGCCTTATCGTGCCTCTTAAAGCTGTGTATGGATCCTTCCTCTAGTACTGCACAGTCAAGGTCATTTTACTTCTTGACTACTTAAGGCTGAAGAAGTACTTCCTATCATCCCTGTGACGCATCTCTTCAACTTCCGGCTGTCTTTTCGTCTGTGTTTTTCGTCTCTCGAACAATATGTCCCTTTCTGCCCTATCAGTTCCTCTCAGCACTGTGCTTTATCATATTATTTTCTCGCTGGTTGCTTTCCTTACTTGTTGCTGCTCTGTTGAACCAAGATTTCCATCTTCGTGTTGATGTTATTACTGTTGAGAAGGCAGCAGCGAAGACATCTTTGAGAAGGCAGCAGTGAAGACATCTTTGAGAAGGCAGCAGTGAAGACATCTTTGAGAAGGCAGTAGTGAAGACATCTTTGAGAAGGCAGCAGTGAAGACATCTTTGAGAAGGCAGCAGTGAAGACATCTTTGAGAAGGCAGTAGTGAAGACATCTTTGAGAAGGCAGTAGTGAAGACCTCTTTGAGAAGGCAGTAGTGAAGACATCTTTGAGAAGGCAGTAGTGAAGACATCTTTGAGAAGGCAGTAGTGAAGACATCTTTGAGAAGGCAGTAGTGAAGACATCTTTGAGAAGGCAGTAGTGAAGACCTCTTTGTAAGGGGTTAGTGATGACATCTTTGTTAGGGGTTAGTGATGATATATTGGTTAGGGGGGTTAGTAATGACACGTATAATTTCCCTAAACTCTGGGAATGAAAAATAATCGTGACATCAGTTTTTGTAATTGAAATCAATTATATACTTTTTTATTGGGAGGGGAGAAAGGGGAGGAGATTGAGAGGTGTTAGAGGATGAGGGGGGGGGGGGCTAGGAAGAGAGGGAGGAAGTGGGGAGGAGAGGATTAGGGCGGCATGGGAGGTGACCTTAACATTCACACCACTACCACCACCACCTCACCCACCACCACCACCACCTCACCCACCACAACCACCACCATCTCAGAATAGTGTGAGGGTGTTGGTGGCTTCTCCCTCTTGTCTACCTGATTTTACCTGGAGTGGCTTCCGGAGGTCACTGCCCCCGCGGTCCGGTCCCAGACCAGGCCTTCTGCTTGCTGGTCTGATCCATCAAGCTGCC